TGACATTCCACGTTCCTTTTTTATTTTCCTGTTATGCTGTCTCCTTCTCTTTCTCTGTTACAGCTACAGTACACAAGGGCGTTATTATTATTCACTCGTTCTCGTCGTTGCGAAAGAGACAAACTTAAATGCAATATCTGAAACTGTGTTTGCATGCGCATGCATACGTTCCATAGCTATCCGTGCCCTGACTAGGATGGACGAGTAGGGTTGCTGTTTTTCTTCGTTGGGACTTTGCACCGGCTTTGCACGCTCGTCTCGAGCAGCAGCAGCATGACGCCGTCGGACGGTTTGGGGGACAAACGAGTTGACAGTGGTGGAGGAGGGACTCTCTCTCTGACAGGGAACGAGGGGGAGAGAGAGAGAGAGAGAGAGTAGGCACTGGGTAGAGGGCTTGGGAGGAAAAGCGGGTAGGGTCTGGGACACGAGGAAGGATATTCGGTTGGCTGGTGGGGCTAGGAGGAGAACCCGGAGTGCCACGGGGACAGGAGGTGGGAAACAGGGCGTCAGCTGCGGGGTAAAAGGCCAGGAAGGAGGGTAGGGTAGAGCTGAGTCATAGCGCTGTTGCCACGTCGAGCCACTGAGTCTTCTTCTACGTTAGTAGCTACATTTGCTACAGCAGGGAGTACTCTCGTATTCCTGGTTGCTGGTGCGCGGCTTCTTCTTCTTGTTCTTTCTATTACTATTTTACCAGTACCATACCATACTACTACTACTACTACTACTTATACTTCTACTCTTCACGGGTACCTCCTTCTAGTTCTTCTGGTAGTCTCGTTGGGCAGCGGCCTTTACGCCTCTGCCGAGCAGCCGACTTTTATCGTCCGACGAGATAGCGACTTTTGATCCCCTTCCTCTACTCCTCCCACGGGCATCCCCGTCGGCACCGCCACTCGTCTCGTCTCGTATCTGGAGCTAATAGGCCATTTCGGACTCCTCGGCCACTACTGCGTAGCTGCTACGCACACGAGGTCGCCCGGGAGACCCTGGGGATTCTGAACAAAAGGTTATACACCAAACCCATACTTCTCTATTGGACTATTGGCGCGGTATGCGTTTATTCAGCGCCAGGAACCTTCATCATCCGGGAACCCTAACCTCTTCCCATTGGATTTTGGATTCAGTTATATATATGTACGCGCATACATACACACATACACAGGCATTATACGAATTCGCAACCTAGTAGGAGCACTATCGACCTCTCTGTTTCCGGCTGATCCTCTATCTCCGTGTCTCTCTCATGCCGTCTATCTTTCTCTCTCTCCCCACGGACTCTCAAGCGTATTGATCTCTCGGTCACTTCGCATTTCAAGCCTGGAAGGACGATTCCCAGTTGTCCGGTCGTCGCCAGTAACCACCATTTGCAAAAAGTTAATTCCTACCGACTTCCGTCGCTCGTTCGAATCTCTTGCTACGTCTGAGCCACAAAAAAAACGGTCTACAAGAAATATACAAAAGCACCATAATACGTATGAACGTTACGCTCTCTAGAACGTACGGAATCGTAACACGTTCCTCCTCGCGGATGGGATAATCGTGCCAGGGGTAGCCTGACTGTGACTCCGACTGTATCAGCTGTACGCGGCCAGTCAACGACTACCAAAAGTGGAAAGCGTAGAGATCTGACCTAGAGTCTTCAGGTTTATTAGAGACACATACTAGCGCTGATATCATCATAAGTCAACATAAGTCATATGCAGCCTGAGAGCGAGTCTTCATCGAGTAAAATTCCTCGACTAGCTATACGTGCCCTGTGGTGGTGTCTCTCCTGTCGTCGTCGCCGTCGTCGTCATCGTCGTCGTGAGCGCCAGTGGTGGGGAGTCACTCGACGAGGACAACGTCGTTGACGACGATGCGGCCCGCTGGCCAGCCAGTCACTCAGCCAGCCACCGTGGCACTTTTCTCCTTCTCTTTGCTGTACTCTAACCTCTCTTTCCCACTCTCTGTTCCCCTTACCATAATACAGCTCCTCAACTCTCTACTCCAGAATCATCCTCTCCACGTATCACGACCCTATCCTCGTATCTCTCTTGCAGTTTCCTTGACTGCATTATACGTAAGTTAGTCCTAGGTCTATGTGTGTGCATTCCTCGATGTGTGTATAGATTACTGGCTCTATATTCCGGGCGCTCTGCTAACAGTTTCTGTCTGATGTTCCGTACCCGGCGCTGCCCCTTCTAAGTTGCCATTCTTCGGGGTCGTCCATTCGACGCGTGCGTCAACGAGCCCCGCACACACAGCACCCACAGCGATAGCAAAGGGCGTACACAGTGTGCATCCGCCTTTACGTGGCTCGTGTATATATGTAATTTAGCGATATAGATAGAGAATGGTAGAAGAGACTGTGGTAGTGGAGGCTGTTGGTAGGATTACGTGTCGGTGAGACAGTACCAGTATATACACACATAATATGTATAGGAAGCGCGAGCGCGAGAGGTAGGGAGGGAGCAGGGAACAGGCGAGCAGGGGCTCCCGCAGCCGAGCCGTTCAGAGCTCTCGGATTCTCGACTCTCACGCAAAGGCACTACGCAGTTTCAAAGTAAAGCCTGCGTCGTGAGGTACATACGTGGCCCGTCCTCTCTCGGTCACTGTTCACTTTTTACATCCTTTATACCAGAGATTACAAGACGTATTGCTCTCCGGGCATAACTAATCTGGTGGTTTCTGGTGGTCAGGATACCATACACCACGAGCACTACTTCGCAGATGGAACAAGATATAGGAATAATCACGACTGATTAAACGTCCTCTGATTCTCTCATCCATGCCTCGTTCTCCCACCTAGCCTAGTGACTAGAGAGATGGATTGTCAATGGTTGCTCTGTATGTATCATCCGGAACGGAGGATCTCTCTACCTACCGAGGTTGGCTAATATAATGCACCAGGGTCGTCCTCTCGGTCGTTTTACTTGAGGATTCTTTTGGTGGAACGTGAGCGGAATAACGGATTCCTTCAGTGAGCTTCGAGGAGAATTTTGTAAATGGCGTCTTCGACAACTCGGAGAAGAGATCGGATGTCATCGTAGAGGACGGACTCGTAACCTCACTCTTTCAATTCTTAGATTGCTGTAGTTTAACCATAATCATTCCTCGGCGGGATTCTCATTGCACACACGGCTATTCGGGAGAGGCGAGACGGTAGGAACCAGGAGAATCACGAGACCGAGACGCGAGAGAGCGGACCCGCTCATGTTCGTGCTGCTTGGCGAACCCCGCCCTATATATAAGCAGCTTTTCCGTTAGTAGTTGGTGCGCCATTATAATGAAAATGCAATGGCGTGTAGCCATTGCTTGCGTTTCAGGTTCGACATCGATCCGAAAAAGCTAGGTGCGTGATAAAGCTCGGCTTCACCCCGTGGGGGCAAGCTTCTTTCGATTCTCGAAGCTTTCTTTCTCTCTCTCTCTCTCTCTCCCCATGTAGGTCTATCTCTAATTCTGCGTCGAATCCGGACGCCCTGTGGCGTCGCGCCCCGCTCTCTTTCTCTCTGTCTCCCTTCTCCCTGCATTACCCCTGCGTATATTTCTCTCTCTCTCTCTTTCTCTCTTTAACTGCGTATGTAACAATACCGACGATAATCTCTAGGATTCGCCGACAGGAAATTCCCCCTCCTCCTTCCCCCAAAAAAAAAAGAAAACCAAAGTACACGTATTTCAGGAACGATCCAAAACGAGGAATTAGCTTTTCCCAGATGTAAGAGTCCTGGATCTTCTAGCAGGAGAGCAGGCGAGCGAAACGAAGATACGTGCAACTCGCGCGAGTAGAAGCGGGCGACTCCCCGGGAGAAACCCAAGCCGGGCAGGTCGCCGCGCCTGCGCATAAGACGTTATCCCCCACTCTTACTTATTGGAACGAGGAAAGCTCACACTACCATAGCTTTGTGTCAGTATCTCATACGACCTCGAAGCTTTGGTATGTATGCATTCTATATGCTGTGTTGCCTGGTTCCCCCACTATACCCGGTGAGACCAGCGTTTTCAGCAGTTATACCACCAGTATACTCCCTCTTCGGTATCCTCATGGCTATCCCTTCCTATAGACTCGCGTTACTTTACCTTCACCCCTCCCCTCTCCTCAGACTCGTTTATACGTATCTCTCCGAAGAATCCCCACCGTGCCTCTCTCTCTCTTCCTTCCTTTCCATCTCTCTCTCTTGGACATTCTGTATCAGCTCTCTTGGCATAGCGTAGCTGAACGAGCACCCGTCATCATGGCCTCTCGGCAAAAACATCCGAGCATTTTTATTATCTTTATGGATCGAAGCGCTGACGAAGTTTTGACCATTAACGACGGTCTGCTATTCGTTTCGGCGATGACGCAGGTTAGAGGAGGTACCTGCCTGAAATATTTGCCGATCCGTTCTCGCATACTTTCCTGAATGACTGTACTCTGGGTTAATAATCGTCAATTCCTTGTGCACGATTCTCACGAACGCGACAAGAAGTCTTCTACGTACGTTCTCAAGAAATGCCTGACATTTTCTTCGCGTTGACTTAAGGTTAGGCGCCGTTGCGTTATCCAAACCCGTGATTTTCATACCATTTACGGATATCCCATGTACGTGTCGTCCACCGGAAACGGACTGTACTCTGTCATATTTAACTGAAAACTACTCCACGAATGAAGCATATAAACAATCCCTATAGTCCATTGTTAAAAACAATACAGAATGCAGAACTGGCTCACCTGGATATCCTTAACCCATATAAAACATATGATAGCCACATAAAATTGCCGTCACTCCAGCGCATATGCGACGGGCACGAATCGATCGTCAACCCTCACTGACGCGTATAAATAAACATTATCGCAGGTACCGATCAGGTAAAAGAATCAGGCCACCTCGTTCTGGTACCTATGTGTCGTCACCCAGTTAAATCGGTTACAGGGTGACATTCTCAGTAACTCAATAAACCAATATTCAAGAGAAGAGTCTCGAGCTATACCTCTCATAACTTAAATAACTAAACCCAGCCCCTTTCTTTTTCATTTGCTCCAGGTATGGACGCGTGCAGAGCGTCAAGCTGCTGCCACGGGGCGAAGAGTGCCCCGTGGACGGGAGTTCCGGAAGTACCCTTGGCGATGGTAACGAGGGCGGTTCCGGTTCCGGTTCTGGGGGTGGAAGTGGTTCTGGGAGTACGACGAGCACCGGGGGTGCATCAGCGACGGTGGCGTTCATGGACATCAAGTCCGCTGCGAAAGCACATGCCACGGAACATACGTTGGACGAAAGAGCCCTCACAACACAGTACTACGAGCCACAGCATCTTCAGCATAGGTTTCCCTCACACGGGTAGGTACTCCATTATCATTGACCTATTTCAGACATTTTATGGTATCACGAGTGGGCGTAGATGACCAATGGCGAGCTTGCTAACCCGGGTTAGCCAAATGCTGCCAAATAGGACGTGTTATTCGCCGTGGTACTATATGCGTATATACGCCCGGTACTAGGTACACGCATGTCCACATATGCCTAATAAACATAATCGAGCAATTTACGTAGTACATTACCAGGTAACAATCGATGAGTCACCGAGCTACGATAAATTGATAGGGAAGAAAGAAGACTGCTCGGTAATCTTTATTAGAGGCTATTTGGGGTTACCATAGGGAAATTCGTTAGTCTTGATGTTCATTATTATCATTCTTTGATGTACGGTCTGCAACGAAGCAAATGTTTTCCTCTTTCTTTTCAAATATTTCGACCTGCCTTCGATGTAACTACAGTTCGGTGTGTGCAAACCCTTATCCTATTTCTACCTGTATACGTCTCTGTCCGTCCGTTACGCACTGGTCTGGCTCTTAGTGTGCAATATCGACACGCTTATAAAAGGAACGCCGGTAATTGAGACCGTTTAAACGTGAAGTGAAGATTGTGGTAAAAGATAGGACGAGGCGGTGGTGCGTCAGGATCGCGACGAAGAGAGGAACACGTAGAGGGACAGAGACAGAAATCAAAGAGAACGAAAAGGAATTTAAACGGTGACTGTGAACAGTGTGCAAAACAGTGTCAAGTTTTACGTCGTGCATCGTTCAGCGTCTCTGCGCTCGTGGCGAACTACCCAAGATGGATACAGTGTTGGAATACAGTGAGCTGGATTATCGCGAAAGAAATAAGAAAAGCTACGATTAAACAGTGCCGTTTGTGTATTTAATAATTATAAGCGGGAAAAACAAAACCTACGCGGGATGATATCGGTAAGTACGGTAAATGACTGACTGTGCTTTTATTAAATTATTTTTTCTCTTACCGTCTCTCCCCCCTCTACTTCCCAATCTCATCCTATTTAATGCAGACCGTACGAGTGTCTCGGTAGTACTGAATTATTTCAAGATAAATACGTTACCTGGAATATTCGCGTATTTAACGTTCTGAGGACTTTGATTAAGAACTTTTGAAAATTAACCTACCAGACTTTCTTATCTTCTACAACTGTTACACGGTTCATGACCCTACCTCAGGAATATGATCCAGCGACATTTAAGTACGTCCCTGAGAATATCTTATCTCGTGCTTCTCTAGTATCAGGTGGC